ATATAAATACAGAGACAAATATAAATAAAATATACGAAGGGGATAAATAGAATAAATAGAAATAAAAATAAAAATACAAGTGAATTGCACATTTCAAGTATTTGTGTGTGCTGACCTGTGCAGGATCGAGGGGGTTGGGGAAGATGGCACTGACCGGTCTCTCTCGTGGAGACAGACAGGCATTTTCTCTGGAATGCTTGTGTTTCTCTGCCATCTGAGGGGATCCTGGAATGGATGGCATGAGACATTAGAGCGGTAACAGACACACAGACGCACACACACACACAAGTAAATACACAAACGCATAAGGGACCAAACGACAGCAAGGTGTTAGGCTATTACCCGCAAACACTGGCAATCAGGAAAGGCCAATCTCTCTTTCTCCCCCCAAGCCTCTCCACCGTTCTTTCAGCCTCACTACTTCCACAACATGATAAATGGCTTGGCCACTCCTACACACACACACACACACACTAACACACACACACCCTCCTCACTTCCTCACCTCGTCTGTTACACTGGACAATCACAACAGAGATATGTGCTAGAGTTCGACACTATAACATATGTAACACGCCAACGGAGACGAACACAAAAGCCCGCCCCCACACACATGTTGGTACGTTTCTGGGTTTTTTTCTTTCACAGCACTTCTCCTCAGCTGCTGGAGCCATTGTATGGATGCTGATCCATTAGTGAATGTTACCGCACTTGGAGGGCTATCATATGAGCATGAAATGCCCATCGTTGGCTCTTATTCAGATAACACCACAGCAGCAATAATTCTCAACATGCTTTATGGGTAGACAGAGGGCACTTTTATAAGGGCGTCAGCCGCTGTCAGCACCTTGCCAAAGAGGAGTGTGTACGCTTCCATAAACGTCTTCATATATTCTTACTTTTTATGACGGGGATCAAGCAGAACACATTGAGATGAGAGCAAGAGAAGGCATTAGACATTCAAAATGCACCGCAGAGGAGGCTTGGATGACACCGGCCTGGACAGGAGATTGTGCTGAAGTCCAAGAGGGATACTCAGCTAAAATGATCTCTTACTCTCTCTTGCATTTTCACTAGCTCCATGTTTCTTTCAACAGCATTTCTCTCAGCTCTTTTTTTCCTTTTCTTTCTTTCTTTCTTTCTTTCTTTCTTTGGACTCATTTTGTATTCCTTCTATGTTTCAGGCTCGCACTATCCATTCAATGCTCCCTCCTCATTGTTCTCTTTTCTTCCCCCTGTCAACCTCCTCTGCATTTATCCCTAGCCGTCATCTAACCTCTCGAACCTCACCAGACAGGATGCTGCGGTGTATTGAGAGAACATTGTGTCAGTGAAAGGTCAAAGGTTCAGACTGTCCAGCTGAACCTCTGTCTGCTTCCTCTGTGTGGATTGAAATCTCAGCTAAAAGACTATTGTGTATAGTTTTTGTACAATAAGTGGTGTTGCTGAGTGCCAGACTCACCTCTGGCACTGGACGGGGCCGAGCTGGTGACGTTGGGCGAGGCAGAATGGTTGGAGCTGAGGCTCGAGGTAGATGGGCTGGGCTGCAGGTGGAAAAAAACAAAAATGATGAGTACATCAATACCACCATCAAACTACAGAATATCATGAAAATTTATAATTAATACAATCTACATCTACCAAAACAAAATCCCAGTTTGGTTGGCTTATACTGGACATGCTTGGTTTCTAATCTAGTTTGTGCAAAGCTGAGCATCTATTATAAGTTTTGTCTGTAACGTTTACCTTTTTCTCAGTAAGTAGGAAAAAAAAAACAGTACTAAGCAACAGTGGAATAAAGAAGTTATCATTAAAGTGCACTTCCTCAACTGTCCACTTGAGGTGGCTTTCAGAAGATACTCAGTCCCGTAGATGGCGATGTTAAAATGCCCAACTTCACTTGAAGAATTTGTATAGTTGCTGCCTAGCACAGAAAAGGCTGTGGCAGTTTTGCTAACTCATCTGTTTACATTTTATTAAGGCTTAAAAGTATTCATTACTGGAGATGTGGCCACTTTGTTTACTCAGTATGTGATGACACAGGCTGCTTTACTGCTAGTTGTTTGCTTATAAGTGCGCCCCAGGGCAGCTGTGGCTACAATGTAGCTTGTTATCGCCAGTGTGTGAATGTGTGTGTGAATGGGTGAATGACTGAATGTAGTGTAAAGTGCTTTGGGGTCCTTAAGGACTAGAAAAGCGCTATACAAATGCAGGCCATTTACCATTTATCAGCAGGAAAAGCTGTAAAAGTTATGAAGTCTAAAGTTTATGCCCTCTTTCACATTTTTCAAAGATGTCCAGTCGGTTGGATTGGAATCTCTGGCAGGTCAGCTCTGGCCCTTGGGCCTTATGTTTGAAAACCGTGCACTAAGAACCCGTTCTTTTATTATTTATTGGTTTGTTACATAGCATTAATTTGCATTCACATGTGTGATGCTCTTTTGCAGTGTGTGGATACACCTTGCTAACTAAATATAGTAACATCTGACTGAAACAAAATAGTGATGGCCATTTTCAATCAATTAAAAAACGAAAACAATATATTTCTAAATTATGATTCGTCCAACTTTTACTAAATTCTACCTGCTCTGTAAACTTAAGAAAAAAAGAAGCACAAACTAACTCTTTGTAACAGCTTCAGTCACATCCCTGAAAACATTTTTTTTCCCTCCCGTGTTTTCCCCTCTTCCTGTTATTCCAAGCCTGCCAGGTGCGGGAGACAGCCTGCCAGGAGTTGTCGGCAGCTTTCTGAATTGGCCAAATCTAGTTTAGATTAGACTCCAGCGAGGCTCCCCGGACGGGCCCACACAAAGCACTATGTCCTTATTTGATATAATCATGACAATTTGCACGGACAGACTGCGTTTCACACGAGCAAGAGTGGAAGATAGAGAGAAAAAGGGTCAGAGGAGAAATAGCAGTGAAATAGAGTGAGAGTGGATTAAAAAGCATTGCAAGTGAAATCTGAAGGGAGGAGGAGGGCAAATGCTGGGATATAGACTCAATCTACTAGGTTAAGTGCCTTTGTGTGGGCGTGTAGGCAAAGGCACAAAGGGAGACTACCTGCATGTTGAAGACTTCATCCGAGCTCTCCGATTGCCCTGTGATGTTACTGACTTCATTGGAGGCTTGAGATGACAGAGAGGACGAGGAGTAACGGTTCACCGCAGGGTAGCTGAAGAGGCTAAAGGCGAAAGAGAGAGGGTTATGATGGTTTACAATACAAAGGGTGAAGTTTCATACTATTATACATGATTAGATTTAAAAGTGGTTCACTCACCAAAGATTCAGCAGCAGTAAGGCCAATAAAAAGAAAAAAAAAAATAGACAAACAGAGAAACAGAAAATACCAGATTAGAAGGCAACTGATTCATCAATCACAGCATTCCATCATGCTGCCAAAAGGCACAAGAAAGAGATGTGACCTGGTTCTTCGTTGGAAACTGGAAAATAGAAAAAAAAAGGAAAAAAGAAATCAGAACTCAACAAGCAAAAATACGAAATGTCACAGGGAGATTGAGGTGATGTGTGCGTCTCCATCTTTCTTGTGTGTGGCTGTGCCCCGCGGGATCAGACTCTGGAGGCAGAATGTCGCAGGTAGACGAAGTGGCAGGGTCACTGAACACATCAAAACACACACGGATGCACGCACACACACACACAGTCTGCCTGCTGGCCCGACAGCAGCCACACAGAAAACATCCCTGTGGGTGCCAGCCAGCCACCCACACCTATTGTACTGAGCTAAGCCAGTAAAGAACTGAAGGAGGAAGAGAGAAAAGGCAGAGAGCATGACGTTGGAGGTGAGATGGAAACACAAAAAGAAAAAGAAAGTAAGATGCGAACAAAGGTCTGCACTGAAGGGCAGCGCTTATAGACCGAGTAAAGGAAGGTGAGAGAATACGAAGGAGAAATTTTATGCACTCCAGAGATGGAAGTTAAAGATCTTTTTGGGTGACTTGGCATAATAAACCAGAGAAGTAATTGACATTGAAAAGCAATACGTTTTCCTCACTTGTTAATTTAATTAGCTGAGAAAGACAGAGACATACGCGTAAAGCTACGGAAATTAAGAAAAGAGCCGTCACCTCCGCCTGGCAACTCCTCTGCCGCCATCTGGGCTAATGATGCTGGGCACGGAGTTCCTGCACGTCCGCGGGCTTCCGTTGGTGAAGTGCACCGGGCTCGCACGCACATACGCTGGAAACTCCTGGGGATTTTTTTAAATTGGGAGGGGGAGAAAGTGCACATGATTAAATGCTTCTTTGTGCCAGCGTGAGGTATATAAATAAAACACACAACATGTAGATGAAGGCAGTTTGTTTAATGAGGGGTGGTTTTCCCCTTTAGAGGAATAAAGGGGTCATTTACTCAGAATTCTTAGCACAGCAGTCAGTTTCTATTGTCACATTCACTGTTTGTTTCCATTAAGGCTCGAAGACTCTGATAAGTAATTTGAGGAAAATAAAGGAACACATGTTAGACAGCTTTAATCATCCTTACACATGAATGACATCCATTAGGTAAATGAACCTCTGTTTAACATAAAATCTGAATCTATCATTGAGTTACACATGTACAGCATTAGAAAAAGCTTTCTTTAAAGTCGATGCCTACCTGTATGCCTAGACTGGACTTCATGAGATGAAACTGGTCCACTAACTTCTTGTGCAGGGGTCTCATATCTTGAGGAACAAACTTCTCATGCACCGCGAGGCCATACTCCAATATATGTGCCTGCAGGACAAACAGAAAAAAGTGCACAATAACTGAAAGTCAAATTTAGGTGATAAAAATGATTCATCTTGTCTTTGCATTTAAAAAGACATCATGAGCTCAAGTGATGTTTCCAACCTGCTCGAACATGAGCTCTCTCAGTCGCCCGATCTTCTCTCCGTCCTCGGGGTGATTCATAATGTAGTCCTTCACGAAAAAGGCCTGCACAGAGGCAAAAATGCAGAACATCTGTTATGTATGCCCTGGGAGCTGAAGCAGCGGGCTTTTTTTCCCCTCTCCACAGCAGTGCTACCTGAATTGCAGCCTGCCTGACACAGCGAATTAGTGTCCACACAGCTATTTGTTGAGTACTTTCCATTTAAAATGTTCACAAAAACTGAGAAAAATTTGAGTTAAAAAAAAAAATTCACATCCTACTAAAATGCAGGGTTGAAAAGTCCTGTCTGGCAAATTTGTGTTGCAATATTAATATCAGGTTCAGTGGGCAGAATTAAAGTACATAGTGGCTAAAAATAGAAGGCGAAAAATACAGTGCCAAATGGATGTTAGTGAAATCAAAGCATTGATTTTGCTTTGATTTAAGAGCCAATTTGGTCTGCGATTTTAAAAGCCCCTTTTATATCACTTTCATTCGTGTCATTGTGCTCTGCTAGAGATCATGTCTCTTTAGAAACATCATCCTTCTTGATTTTGGCTTGCAGACTGTGCTTTCTATTCACTTTCCCAGACACTGCCTTCAAAAAAGAAAAAGAAAAAAGACTTAAAGGAGAAACTGATAAGATGAAAAATGCCCTGGTCTGCTTTGAATGATGATAACTGTTTTTTTTGCTTTTGCTTTTTTTTTTTTTTTTTTTTTTTTTTTTTTTTTTTTTTTTTTTTTTTTTTTGGGGGGGGGGGTTGTCACTTTCATACATTAAATGCAAGATCTTTCCTGCTTACAATGCCATCAACACTTGCAGTCTGTCTACAGATTATGTTAAATCCCTTTCAATCTGCATCAGAGTACACAAAGCGAGGGAGAACCGATGAAAAGGCCCACCTCACAATCTGCTTATGAATCTGCCGCACACTAACACACAAAAAACCCCAAAAGAAAACGAGACTGAAAGGTAAGGAGGAGTTCACTAAAAAGATCAGCACGGCTCCTCTCTCAAGGACACAGCTGTCTATCTCCAACGAGACACTTAAGAGAAGAGAAGCTGAAGGCTGCTTCAGACATATGCACTCCCAAACACACACATAGATGTCTATCAAAGGATGCATGCGGCTTGCAGACTATGAAACTTCAATAAAATAAGGAACCTTATTATTCCAGACAGGCATCCTCAGATCTTTATCAAGATGGCATAAATTAGTATGTGGTGGATATAATATTCCCTCTTATTAAACTGTGAAACAGAAAAAAAAAAATCTTATTGCATAAACATTATTACTCTATGGTGAGGTGGGACGCTCAAAGAGAGAAGTACTGAGTTTCACCAGAAATTCTATACAAGACCCCCAAAAACGGCATCAAAAAAATAATCAATAATTTTCTACAAATGATGGAAATTTCTCGTCGGGCTGCAGGGAGTGAGACCTCACCGTGGAGTGGCTCAGTTAATCATTAGAAAAGTCCAATTAGAGACGGAATGCTGAGGGGAGGGGGGGAATAAATCAGACAGCATTCCCCCTCAAGGGTTTCAACTCAAACTGCAGCAATAAATCTGAATATTAATAACGACAATTTCTCCTTCATTTGGAGCCGAGCAAACCTCCACAGCTGTCAATCGGCATTACGCGGGTAAATTAATAGATTTATAGATGCAGTCTGTGGGGCACCGCATGATATATTCTGCCAAGAAAAATGAGCTGCTGATATTGGTGCCAATGTGTCTGCTGCAGAAAAAAAAATTAAAAAATAAAACAAAACAAAACAAAAAAGGTCAAATCTGTGTCAGGCTCATGTGGTATGATCACATTCTGTTATTTATGTAAAAATATAAATTACAAAAGATTTGAAGGAGACGCTGGTCAGTTTTTACCCAGAGGAACAACATCTCTATGCATATCAATATTTACCTAACCTTGTAAACAATGTGTAAAACGGGAGGAAATATTTTGTACGTTGCAACATTTTATACAGATTTTTTTTGGTTTTCAGCAAAATAGTGGCAGCAAAGATAAAAAACACTTCTAAAATGCTTATTTTTGGGCTCTTATCAGCGTCCCACAACCCTTAATAGGGTACTTGTACTGAGGACATGCGCTTCACTCACAAGCACACACATACAGTATATGTTCCACAGAACACACATGCATTGTCACAGCGGTTGCTATGCGACACAGAGAAGGCAGCCGAGTCCACTCAATTTGTGGAGAACAAAAAAAAAAAATCTTTATTTCTTCTTTTCTAGTCTTCTTTCTTTTGAATTGAGCTCCTAATGGTTAAAGTGTCTCCACTCAAGGAGCATTTAAAAAAGCAGCAGCAAATGGAGCTCTTGATGAAATTGCCCATATTTCAACTTTCCATACCAATCTGTTACCACTTCATCATATAAATACTATAAGTTTGTGTGATTGGAAGATATGACTAGGAAGATTTTTGCACTTTATTAATCTGGCGCTCTGCCTCTTTAAGAATTCGGCTTGGTATATAATTAGCTAAACTTGGTGGATGACACCAGAAGGGTTAGGTAATAAGGTAAAGTTGCGAGTTGTACACCCACACTGATTGAGATTCTTAGAATCTTTACTAATGACTGTAGCACTATAAAGAACTGGCATTATGTCTCTGCCAAATAAAGTATTGGTGCTGTAATCTCCATGCATGCTAATAAGCTGTTCCGGAGCCTATGCTAGCTAATCTAGCTGTGGTTGTTACTCATTTTTTCACAGATAAAGCTTAAAGCACAGCCATGAACATAGCGGCAAAAATGCTAACATTAAGCTAAGTACACCACCAATTTGGTCCTGTGTTTGGTGTTACATTGACGATGTTCCCATCTAGTTTTACTTAAACACATTTTAGCAATTGTTCTCTCTGCAATACATACTTGCTTCAAAATACACAAGCGGCGTATTTATATATAATTTGTTAGAGAACATTGTGAAAATTATTTTTAGGGCATTAAAATTCAGTAATTTGCAAACATGGCAACTTCTTTCCAAGTTTTAGGACTACATTAGCCATCTAATCCCTGAAACTCCTTCCATTCTTCTATCTAACATTATTTGACCTCCCGCCTCTTTCCCCCCCACATCCACCTTATCATTCTATCTGACCAAAAAAATCCCCCCCACCGACCTATTCCTACACTACCCATCCATCTTGTTTTCCCACTTCCGCCCCCTCCAGCTTTCCACTCATCCATCTATTTGGTCAAGCCATCATCCAGCCATCAATGCATCCATCCATCCATCTGTTCATCCGCTCCACCCCTCCACAAAACACTTTCTGTCCATACATCTCTCCATTTTAAGCCACCTTCATGCATCATTAGGTAATCCATATGTCACTGCCTCTCATTCCTGCTTAGGTCTCTAAAATCCTCCAACCTTATCCTCCAGCAAGCCATTCATACCTCTTGGTAGCGGGCCAGTCCCCCGTTGACTGCGGCGTCGATGACCCCGTTGAGGCACATGGTGAGAGGGTTGATGTTCTGCATCTGCCGGCTCTGACACTGGGAGATCAATGTGCGCAACTGCAAGTTCTTGTTCTCGATCACCTCAATCGCATTCTCCAGTGGGCTTACCTCCACCTGTACACATGAAGGATGAAGAAACATTTTGTAGCTTTTTATATGAAGCTCTAAAGGGAGCTTTACAAATAATATCTGGAAGCTAAAATATCTATAAGGTATTTGAGTAATGTGGGAATTTTAGAGGGTCTGCTAAATAATAAATGCTACTGAGGTCCTTTATAGTGAAAGGTGAGGCAGTTTAAAACATATTAAGTTCTACAAATCAGGATATTTCAGCTTGTAATACTTTAGTTTTGACCACTTTTTTGTCCCAGAACAGAGCTGTTTTTTCTCCTAAAATACAGCAATTTGAAAAGCTGCTTAAAAAAATACAATGTTGCCAAAATTATTTGGACCTTTTAAGTTGATATGGTAAAAGTTTTAGCACCAGCCTATTTACACATTATGTGGTATACTTGACATCCAAAATGAGTCTTTTTAGAAGTAAACACTCGATACCAGCTTCTTGTTAAATTTGTTGGAAATGCTTTAAAGAGCCTTTTTAGTGAAAACTGCGCTCTGAGTGAGGCAGCTGCAAAGCTGGGTCAGTATCTTTAATTATATTTGTGCTATTTACCAAAAAACAAAAAACACCTACATGTATCAATTTATTAACCATTATTATAAAGAATTATTGTAGCAGCTTCATTTAAAACTAAGTACTATTTTTTTAAATATACATTAACATATGGACACTTTGTCACATACTCGTGAAGGCACAGTGAAATATTTTTTCCTTCATCCTGATTTCTTTTTCTGTATTTTTTCCTTCTCACACAAAGCTTAATCCTTTTGCTAATTGAGCTTTTGCCAGTCTCCATTTTAAATGCTACTGCACTCCACAGCCATCATAGAGTAACACTGGCTTTACAATCCATATTTCACACCACGCTCAGCAGCTGTGAAGTAAAGAATATGCGCTTAGACCATCACAGACAGACACTGTGTTGGACTGCACAGAACAACATTTCAAAATCTGTGTAAATCTGACCCTTAGAAATCTGATTGAGAAGACAAAGCATTTACATGTAACAGTGTAGCAATTGTCCCATGTCAAATTTGACAGGAATTTGCCAATTACAGGGGAAAGAAATCCCAATACAAAAATCTATTCTAAAAATTGGACACGTTGGTAATCACAGTAAAGCAGTTTGGCTTTTAGCGTGACATCCAATCAAACCAATTGCGGAAACTGAACATCCAATAGCCCCAAACCTATGACTTAGGTCATGATTGCTGCTCAGTCTAATGACTTGGATCAATACTTGTGTATTGGCTGTCATTACTCTAAATTCCAACCTGCAGAATAATAAAAAAAAGAAAGTATCACTGTGTCCCTTGTGTCAAATGGCTGTGTGTTGTGTTTATGCCTTCACTGCTATTTCATCAGACTGGGACACACTCACCAGTTCTCTCTTTTCAACTTCAAACCAGCGGGAGATGCCTGGAAGACTCTGGATCAGAGTCAGAGTTGTCCTCTCCACCCACAGACTCTGCATTCACACAATACATCCATGAGCATTAGCTGATTGCTAAACATATTTAAAAAATCCATAAATACTTAGGCTTGCTGTACACATATCTTAGTGGCAGCACTGTTCAGGATTTAATTGTTGATCCACAGTTAAAGGAAAATATAAAAATGCCTACAACCCAAAAACACACTTTTACTCATATGTCATATGTCTAATATCCTCTCCAACAGTTATGCTGTCAGCCAGCATGCTTGTTATATTTCCAGCCTCTCAAAAGGTCATTAAGACAGCACGCAAGCTATGAAATTTTAATATTAACAGCAGGCTCTAAATATAATAGATTT